TTGAGCCCAGGAGTTCAAGACCAGCCTGGGCAACATGGTGAGACCTCATCGTTATCAAAAAACAAAAAACTTAGCTGGGTGTGGTGGCAGGAGTCTGTGGTCCCAGTTACTTGAGAGGTTGAGCCCAGAAGTGCGAGGCTGTAGTGAGCTGTAATCATACCCACTGTAGTGGGCAACAGAGTGAGACTCCGACTCAAAAACAAACAAATAAAAAGATAAAACTTCTCTGTGACTGGGTGCGGTGGCTCACACCTATAATCCCAGCACTTTGGGAGGCCAAGATGAGAGGATTTCCTGAGCCCGTGGGTTTGAGACCAACCTGGGCAACTTGGTGAGACCTCGTCTCTACAATAAATCAGAAAATTAGCCGGGCGGGGTGGTGTGGGTCTGTAGTTCCAGCTGCTTGGAAGGTTGAAGGGGAAGGATCACCTGAGCCCAGCAGGTCAAGGTTGCAGTGGTGGTGAGCAGCATGCCACTGCACTCCAACCTGGGCAACAGAGTAAGAGACTCCGACTCAAAAAAAAGATTTATCTGTGGTGTTAGAAGTTAGGATAGAGCCGGGCTCGGTGGCTCAGCCTGTAATCCCGCGCCTTTGGGAGGCTGAAGTGAGTGGATTGCCTGAGCCCGCGGGTTTGAGACCCACCTGGGCAACTTGGCGAGACCTCATCTCTACAGTAAATAATAATAATTAAAAAATCAGCCGGGCGTGGTAGTGCGCACCTGTAATTCCGGCTACTCGGAAGGCTGAGGCAGAAGGAACGCCGGAGCCCTGCAGGTCGAGGCTGTGGTGGCCGGGAGCGGCCACTGCACTCCAGTCTGGGTGACAGAGTAAGACTCCGACTCAAAAAAAAAAAAGAAGCTGCCTCTTGTGTCTCCATTTGAGTTGGTTCCAGCCTGGGTATGCAAACCAAATGGGGTATAGCAAGTTATGGGACTTTCGGTCAATAAATTATAGGCTGCACCATAAAGAAAGACACAATCACGGCCTTTGCAGCAACTTGGATGCAGCTGGAGACCATCATACTAGGTGAACTATCAAAGAACTGAATACTGCATGTTCTCACCCACACTTGGACCCTGAACACTGGTCACAGGAATACAAGGGTGGGAACGGCAGATGCTGGACACTAATAGGGGAAGGACGGAGAGAAGAGGGAGAAGGACACGTGGCAACACACTGGATGCCTGGTCCGTTATCAAGGGCAGAGAAGACCACTAGAAGCCCAAACTCCACCTGCATGCAACTTACGTAGTAAATCCCCTTTAAGTAGCTGGAACTACAGCTCAGTTCCAGTTGAGTATAGGGAGTATAAATTTAAAAATTGACACAACTCTAAATTTAAAAATTGGCCAAGTGTGGTGGCTCACACCAAATCCCAGAATTTTGGGAGACCGAGATGAGAGGATTGTCTGAGTCCACAGGTTCGAGACCAGCCTGGACAACTTGGCAAGACCTCATCTCTACAGTAAATCAGAAAATTAGCCAGGCCTGGTGGCATATGCCTGTCATTCCAGCTACTTGGAAGGCTGAGGTGGAAGGACCGCCTGAGCTCAGCAGGTTGTGGCTGCGGTGGCTGTGAGCATGCCACTGTACTTCAGCCTGGGCGGCAGAGTGAGATTCAGACTCCAAAAATAATAATAATAAAATTAAATTAGCCAGGCACGGTGGTTTAGCCTCGTAATCCCAGCACTTTGGGAGGTGGAGGCGAGAGGATTGCCTGAGTCCAGGGGTTCGAGACCAGCCTGGACAACTTGGTCAGAACTCATCTCTACAATAAATAAAAATATTAGCTAGGTGTGGTGGTATACAACTATAGTCCCAGCTACTTGGAAGGCAGAAGTGGACGGATCACCTGAGCCCAGCAGGCTGAGGATGTGGTGGCTGTGAGTGTGCCACTGCATTCCAGCCTGGGCAACAGAGTGAGACTCCGACTGAAAATTTTAAAAAAAGGCCAGGTGCGGTGGTTCATGCCTATTATCCCAGCACTTTGGGAGGCAGAGGTGAGAGGATTGCCTGAGCCCACAGGTTCGAGACCAGCCTAGGCAACTTGGTGAGACCTCATCTCTACAATAAATCAAAAAATTAGCCTGGCGTGGTGGCGTGCACCTGTAGTTCCAGCTACTTGGAAGGCTGAGGCGGAAGGATTGCAGGAGCCCAGCAGGTCGATGCTGGGGTGGCCATGAGCGGCCACGGTACTCCAGTCTGGGCGACAGAGTGAGACTCCAACTCAAAAAAAAAAGAAAAGAAAAGAAACACACCTAACGCAAGTGCAGTGGCTCACGCCTATAATCCCAGCACTTTAGGAGGCCTAGGAGGCCAAGGTGAGAGGATTGCCTGAGCCCATAGGTTCGAGACCAGCCTGGGCAACTTGGTGAGACCTCATCTCTACAATAAATAAAAAAATTAGCCTGGCGTGGTGGCGCGCGCCTGTAGTTCCAGCTACTTGGAAGGTTGAGGCGGAAGGATTGCAGGAGCCCAGCAGGTCGAAGCTGGGGTGGCATTGAGCGTGCTACTGCACTCTAGCCTGGGCTACAGAGTGAGACTCTGACTCATAAACAACAACAACAAAGAGCCCACGAAACAGTAGTCAGTGAAGCAAGAGGAGGACCAAGAGTGCGTGGTGGCAGAAAACAGGAGAAGAAAGTGTTTCAGAGTGGGAGTGGCTAAATGTGGTAAATTAGGGTTAAGAGAACACATGAAAAAACAAAAAAAGCAAGAGATCAAAGAGGTCACTGGATTTGCCAGGAGATTGCAGTTTATTTATTTATTTATTTATTTATTTATTTATTTTGAGCGTCTCACTGTTGCCCAGGCTTGAGTGCAATGGCATGCTCACGGTTACTGCAGTCTCAACCTACTGGGCTCAGGCGATCCTTCCGCCTCAGCTTTCCAAGTAGCTGGAATGACAGGTGTGTACCACCACACCCGGCTAATTTTTTTTTTTTTTATAATTTATTGTAGAGATGAGTTCTCACCAAGTTGCCCAGGCTGGTCTCAAACCCGTGGGTTCAGGCAATCCTCTCACCTTGGCCTCCCAAAGTGCTGGGATTACAGGTGTGAACCACCGCACCTAGTTGGCACTGATCTTCTTGGTGTTTCATTTGTCTTATTGTATCTTTTGTAGCTCCTAGTACAGTGCCTAGTAGGAGGTACTCAAGAAATGTTACTGGATTAATGAATAAATTAACAAATGGAGGGGTGGGTGGATGAATGGCAGGTGTAGAGCAGAACAGACTCAGTCAAAGGAACCCAAACTTCAGAGGAAGGAAAAAAGAATGAGGGAGTCAATGAGTTGGCCAACCATCAAGGCACTGGTCTAGTAAAGCAGACTTCAGTAAGAGCTCTGGGATCAACCACCTACTTAACCATTTACTGTTTTTCCCTTTCTGGCTCTTTCCCCAGGCTCATATGAAAAACGATTATTTTTATGGATGTAAATGGGAGAAAGAATTTTAAAAATGACAGTCTGGCTGGGTGTGGTGGCTCAGCCTGTAATCCCAGCACTTTGGGAGGCCGAGGCAAGAAGACTGCCTGAGCCTGGGGGTTCAAGACCAGCCTGGGCAGCTTGGTGAGAACTTGTCTCTACCATGAATCACAAAAACTAGTCGGGCGTGGTGGCGTGTATCAGTAGTTCCAGCTACTTGGAAGGCTGGGGCGGAAGGATTGCCTAAGCCCAGCAGGTCGAGGTTGCGGTGGCCGTGAGCGTGCCATTGCACTCCAGCCTGGGCGACAAGAGTGAGACTCCAACTCACTCTTTCAAAAAAAATAAAAAATAATTAAAAATGACAGTACAGTCCTAGCCGGGCTCGGTGGCTCAGCCTGTAATTCCGTGCCTTTGGGAGGCTGAGGTGAGT